CAAGATCTAGCTCCATGTGCCCTGGAGGTCTGTAGCCTGCGGGCTTGTCCACAGGGCCAACGTGAACACAACTGCTCAGCCATTGTGTAAACCCAGCAGCTCGCTCTGCAGCCTCCTTGGCTTCCCACCCTTGGTTCTTCTCCTATTTTCTGTCTGCTTCTGAGTGTATTCTCATCTTTCCCCCAGAAAACTGATGACCTGATCTTTCTAAGGTACTTAGCACAGAGCCTGGCTCTTGGCAAGCACTAAGTACATTAGCCAGTGTTTTTACAGTTGTCCTGAAGACCATTTCCCAGGCTCTAGCAAGCCATCTTAGCCTCAACTGCCAAATCTTTATCATCAGCTCTTATCACTCAGGTCCTAGCCATTTGAGACTCTGGCTGCCGTCCCTGTAACTTCTTTCCTGAGTGTCCTAACCAACCCTCCCCACCAACAACCCAAATCACCTGACACAACCCAGCTTCTCCTTGTCATTTCCGTAGAGCTGTGGTCCCTCTCGCTCAGTATTACAGAATGTTATCAGGGGAACTTAGGCACCAGTCCTTTCAGAAGATAAGAGTCATTTCAACCCTGCATCTCTCCACCGTTCTGTGGCCATCATTCCAAGGACCAAGTGTCCCAGCCAAAGTCATTCCTGGGCTGAGTACTAGGAATGGGCCATTCCAAGATGCAGTATTTTTAGATGGCCTTTGCTTCCTCCAGTAACCTCACTGAGACACTTTCAGGACTGGAGCTGGCTCTAGGCATTCTCTGGCCTTTATAAATGGCTAGATCATACTTGGGACTAGAGAATTTTGGTCAAAGACCATGGCCAACAATGAGAACTTTGTCATCAAACCCAATGGAGTCCAAGGGGGTCTTCTAGAGGAGACATCAAGTCTCTGGGGGAGTCAGTCCCCCTTAGCCTAAAATTCATGCAGGCTTTTTTTTTTTTTTTTAGTTTTTAAAGATTTATTTAATGAATGCTCTGTCTTCATGCACACCAGCCAGAAGGGGTCATCAGATCTCATTACAGATGCTTGTAAGCCACCATGTGGGTGCTGGAAATTAAACTCAGGATCTCTGGAAGTACAGCCAGTGCTCTTAATCACTGAGCCCTCATGCAGGCTTTTGAAGGCTTTCTTGAACACATACCAACCTGAGAGACCATCTATTCAAAGCATGCCTAGTGAAATCCATGCTCTCAGGGCTAGTGGTGTCACAGTCTGGCAGGGGGAAAGGAGGGATGGATGACTAATGTTGGAAGACAGGCTAAAGGGTGTTCAGGGAAAGCTCCCCTCTGGACTCCAAGCCTGAAACCATCTGGGAGGACTTTTGTATCCAAGTTGGCAGGACATTACTCATGACATGTGGCATGTTGAAAAAGACTGGCTTGTGAGGGCTATGTTCAGGACTGGCTCTACAAGTAACAGGAGGGTGGCTGTAATTCTCTCCCACATTTTCCCTCCTGCTATTGTGGAGTGTCAGCCTAGCAAATCTAGTTATTTCTAGAACTTCCTTAGAATCTAGACGGAAACCGTTAAAGCTGTGCATGTTCCCTGAACAATATTACATGTTATCATTATTAAAATGTTTCACTCAGGTTTAGTTGTCCATGCCCTTAATCCCAAGCATGCAGGAAACAGGGGACCTCTGTGAGCTCCAGGCCAGCCTGGTCTACATAGAGTTCCAGGCCAACCAGGGATACACAAGCCATCTCAAACAAAACAAAAAACAGAACGAAAATATTCCTCTTTGCCTTCCCCACCACACCTCAAAAGCCACGAGGGCAACCTCTGGCTTGAAGCAAGAGAGCAACTTCAAAAGCTTGGAGCTTGGATTCTGCCCTTCCACTGGAACTTATAAAAGGTGCCCACTAGGATATGTTCCCAAATCAGAGCTCAGTTTCCTTATCCTCCCTTAGTTGGTTGGGTCCTGTAGATGTCTGTCCTTGGCAGAAGTAACCATTCCAACTTTATTCGAAGAGCTATTCCAGCCAGGCTGGGGTCCCCTAGAATGTCCACATAGGATGAAACCTGTTTCATGAGTCCCAGGCTCATCTTACAGAGAACCTGGGATTCTGAATGAACCAGCCACATGCTCTTTGTTGTGTGCCTCCTAGGCAACTCCTGGTCCCTTTGTAGCAGAGGTCTCAGCCCTCAAACCTGATGTTCTTGGGCATCTCAGACTCCATCTCACCCTGCATCCCCAGCAACTTATATCTGTATGTAGCTGAGATACAAGAAGTGAGAATGGGGATGCTCTTGTGAATACTTGGTGAGCCAAGGCCTGGAGGACTTTCTTAAGAACCCCATTAAATTCACCTCGGGAGAATATGGTGTCAAGAATGCCTCACATGGGCTGTGTGTGTACCTGGACCTACGGTCACTGTGGAGGTGGAGAAACGGAGAATCCTCATATGAAGAGACCAGCCTGGGCAAGTTAGCCAGATCCTGCCTCGAAATAAAAAGCTAAGTGTGACACCACACACCTCTAACCCCAGCGTTTAGGAGGTTGAGGCAGGAAGACGGCAAATTCAAAGCCAGGCTAGGTGGGGGAAATGGAGTTGGGGGACAGCTCAGCAGGTCTTAAGGCACCGGCACTTGATGCACAAACATGGGAAACTCAGCTTGTATCCTTGGCACACATACTTTAAAAAAAAAAAAAAAAGCTGGGCGTTAATAGTGCACGCTTTTAATCCAGCTCTTAGGAGGCAGAGGCAGTGGATCTCTGGGGCCAGCCTGGTCTACTAGTGACTTCTAGGACAGCCAGAGCTACTGAGACTCTGTCTTGGAAAAATAAATAAAAATGGTAATAATTTTGAAAGAAAGGACACAGCGTGAAGGGAAGGATCCTGGGAGGTTGCGCAACAAGCAGTAAAGCTGAGTAAGTGAGCTCAACTGTCTCAATCCCCAAAAACTAAGGTGGAGAGTCATCAAGGAACGCATCTGTTGATCTCTGGCCCCCACAAGCACGAATCTATCTACTCGTGTTCATCTGCACACACATGAACAAAACAGTACTCGTAATATGAAAGGGGCAGGTAGACAGCTCAGTAGCAGAGTGCTCACCTGGCTTCTGTGAAGCTCTGGTTTCTGTCTACACAGCCACATCTTCAAGCACCATGTTTAAGGCCCAGACCTCAGCATCCTCATATCTAAGTGGAGAAAGCACCCGCTTCGTGGGACATAAATCCATGTGGTAGGACCAAGGAGGAGCAGCTTCTGTTTTGAACTCATCTCTCTCCCAACCATTTAAGTACTACTGGTTTACAAATGAAACAAGAGGAACACTGGGGGGTGTGGGGGCAGGGTGACGGTGGCAGTGACTTGCAGTAGACTTCACCAAGTGGAGCTGGAGTCCTTAAGCACTAGGTTGCTCCATGTGTTTGGGTACCCAGGGGGGGGGATGGGACACAGCAGGAGAGGTGCCCCAGAGGACTTGGTAGCAGAGGCTATACCAAAAAAGTTTCTTTATGCAGTTGAGGCATGCCAAGTGGCTTAGGTCTATAATCCTAGCATGGGGAAAGCTGAGGTAGAATGGCTACAAATTTGGGGCCAGCCTGGTCTACAAAGTGAGACTGTCTCAAAACAAAGAGAACCACCAGAAATTGTTAGGCATGATGCCATACACCTGTAATCCCAGCACTCGGGGCGGGGGCGGGGAGGGGAGGCGGGTTCAGAGACTGAACTGACCTATGTTTAAGGTAAACCTGGGATGCATACAGAAATCCTGTCTCTGTTACCATACTGGGGATTCCAACAGCCTCCCTCTGGGTTGCTTAGCAACCGCTGACATCATCACCTGCAGCTGCCAGGTGCACCCCAGGCATATACCGATAAAGACCCACCAGCTTTTTTCTCTCTCTCCTCTCCTCTCCTATCCCTCTGCCTCTCCTCTTTCTCTCTCCACCCTCATGGCTCACTCCTCAGGCCCTAACTCCTCTCCTTCTCTTCTCTCAAATAAACCTCTATCACACCTGTTGCAGGGTGCAATTTCTTATAAATCCTAACAGTCTCAAAAAGGAAAAACAGAAAGGCCAGGTAGGAAGCCACGAGGATGACTCTTGCCCAGAGAATATGGAGCTAAGAAAATGAACGGATATGTCAATAACTCCCATCTAACCCCCTTGAGGATTCCACGCTGTTTTACAACCACCAAAGAAATGGCTGGAAGAATCATGGTTTTCACCAGGTGTAGAGGCACAGGCCTTTCATCCCAGCACGCAGCAGGCAGAGGCAGGGAGAGGCGGCCAGCCTGGTCTACACAGCATCAGGACAACCAGGCCTACATAAAGCCTGTTTCGGAAAAACAAAACAAAACAAAAAATCGTTTTTCTTTCTTTTGTAGACTGCAGCTCAAGGCTGGGCATCTCAAAGAAGACAGGCTGTCTTCGCCTGTGCACTCCCATTCTTAAGAAAACCTCTTTTCCCACCCTCCACAGTGCCTCTTTGCCCTCAAGCTCAGAAAGCATTCTTAGAGTATGATCAATGGGAGTGCCCACGAAGCAGCTTCTAAAATCCCAGAGACTGGCAGACAAGATGGCCCCATGGCTTTGTAAAGGACACTTGCCACCAAGCCAGACCACCCAAGTTTGATATCCGGGACCCAAACAGTAGAAGGCGAAAACCTGCCAGGGCTGTGAAGGGTCTCACAGGCTCCCCTTGCGAATGTGGGCCCTCTACACAAACGGAATAAATGTAAAAACACCTAACTAGCTGGGTGAAGGGAGCACTGTTTTAATCCCAGCACTCAGGAAGAGATAAGGGGACCTCCTGAGTTTGCAGCAAGCCTGATCTACACCTAGTGAGCTCTGCCAGTGCGAACCCGACTCAAAATGAATGTCTGCAAAATTAAAATAAACCCAGAGTCACTCAAGCACACTGCCTCCGAGAGTCAACTAAAATATGGCTCTGGCCCAAGACCCCTAGTTACCCCAAATGTAGACTTCGATTTTAAGGTCAACCCAACCCCTCACCTGGTCTACCTTCCCCCTCCCACCACCAATCATAAGCCGACCATTTTCCAAAACAAAACCAAATTTATTCAGCAGACATTTTAATTATGAATCCTATAAATCAGGACCACCACAATTTCAGACACTCCGTTGCGAAGTGTACGTCAATAGCTACATCTGGAGGATGAACAAGCCATTGAATCTTAAAAAAAAAAAAGTTAGCTACCGTAATGTTTGGGGGTGGCACCTCAGGAAGGACGCCCTCAAGTTTCACAAGGGAAAAGCCAGCGGTTTCTCCACCCGGAGTCACATTTTTAAACTGTTTCAGTCACTCACAGAGAAATGGCAGGTGAGGAAGCAGGAGAGGCTCCCTCCGACACTACAGAGGGCCAAAACAGAGCAGAAGAGGGTGTCCACGGCCTTCAGCCAACCCCCCACACACACCACAAACACGATGGCGGCAGGGAGGACAGGAGGTTGTTTATAGCTGTTTCTGAGAAAGCTGGTGCCATGGCCAAGAGGGGCCTAGCAGGAGGAGTAGTTCTGGAAAGAGAAAAGCACAAAAACGCAAATAACTCTCCTTACACGGCCCTGTTGGCCTAAGTGTCCTCGGGAGACTCCAAGCGGTGGCAAAGCAGACAGGTCCGCGCTTGGATCAAAAAACAGAAAGACACCAGGAGTAGCTCTCCCAAGAATCCCTCAACACCCTACTCACAACCAACCTGACCTTGAGTCCAAGTTGGCAAGGTGAAGTCATTTACAATTCCCCATTTGAACTCATCTCTCCCCACTTTCGGGAATTCACCAACCGGGTCCCATCGCCCAACTTCAACGTCACAAACTAAGTAGGAGAAAGCGGGCGTTACCAACCCACCCAACCGCCAAGTTTTTACATTCTTCATCCCAGCGTCAGCAAAGAGCTCTGCAACCGTAGCACCATATTCAGGAAGCGTCTCCACCCGAAAATAACGAGACTGCATATGCCTACTATTCGTTTTCAAGTATTGTTAGAAAGCCCTCCCGATTCCCGCCCCTGCGAGCAACACCTACAAACAATCCAAGCACACGATGCTAAGTCAGGTCCAAGTCCATCAAGTAGCTGCCACAGTTCTCCCGGTAGATCCCAGGTTTCGGCTGCCGGTGCTGCTCAGTCGAGTCCGTTTTCTCTAACAGCCTCGCGCGGCCGGTAACTCTGGGGCCCGCGGGATGGACGACGGCTTCAGCTCCGGACTGTCCGGGGCAGGAAACTGTTGAATCAGCGTAGCCGCGTCCTCTTCTCCGCCTCCAGGGCCCCAGGGTCAGAGCCAGGCTCCCGAGGGCTGCACGGTGACTGAGTCCGGTCCGCTTCGGCCACCCCCGGAGCCCGAGGCGCTCGCCGGGCTCGTGGCGGCGACCGCGGCAACCGCCTGCTGGAGCCTGCGCACCGCCTCCTTGATGAGGTTTCCCGAGAGCACGAGCTGCTGCAGGAGCCGGTGCGGGTCGTCGTCGCCCGCGCGCGCTCCGCCTGGGGCCCACCGCCGCTGCTGGATTCGCCGAGAAGCCACGGCGCCCGGGAGCCACCCCCGCCGCCCCGGCCCGGGAAGCGTGCTGGGGCCCGCGGCGAGCTCCGCCACGCAGTAGGGCGCCGCCCGGCCCCGCACGCGCCCGCGCTCCCCCAGCACGCAGCGCACGGCCCCCGGGGGCGCCGGGTCTCCGGCCTCCGCAGGCGCCGCCGGACGCAGCAGCCGCCTCGCCGGGGCCCGGGCCTGGTCCGCGGGCAGCGCCGCCGGGACCCGCGGGGGTGGGGGCGGGGGCGCCGGGGCGGCACACGGCGAGGCCCGGCCGTCGTGCGCCGGGTCCAGCTGCAGCGTCTCGCCGATCTGGGCGATGAGCCGGTCCACGTCGGCCGAGCCGCCCACGGTCACCGACTGCTGCAGCAGGAGGAAGCTGTCGTCGTCCTCCTCCCCCTCCGCCTCGTCGCCGGCTTCCTCCTCCTCCTCCCTCCGGCACGGCATGGCCCCCCGCCCGGGCCCCCGCGGCTGTGTGGGCGTCTCTGGCGGCTCGGTTGCCCGCGGGCTCGGCGGGCCGCGGCTGGGGCGGGAGAGGGGGAGAGGCCCGGGTCGGGCCTGGGACGCGGAAGCCGGGACCACCGGGCAGTCGCACCGCGCGCCTGAGAGCCGCGGGAGCCGGAACGCTGCCGGCTCGGGTTGATTTGTAAACAATGGGTGACGTCGCGCGGCCGCTACCACCGCGCGCGCCCGCGGGGGGACGGACGGTCGCTAGACTCCCTGGCGGCGCGGAACGGCGCGCACCGGGCGGCACCGCGGCCGACGCCCTCCGCCCGGGGCTGGCTCTTCTGCCGGTGTGGAACCCCGGGTCTGGGCACCGCCCCGGTCCGGCCCAGACCCTAGGAGCGGTCGGAAAGGAGGCCCTCTCGGGGGCTGCCCAGTTGGCATCTCCCACTCGCGGACACACCCCTCATCGCGCCCAGCCCCTCCTCCGTGGCGCCCGCTCCTTCCCCCACGTGTGGGCAACGCCTGCGCCGGTCCGGCTCCACTCCGCGCACCCGCAGTGGCCCGCGCGGCCTCGGGGGGAGGGGTGGCCCCGAGGGAGGGGCGGCTCTGAGGCTGGGGGCGGGGGAGGCGGAGGAACCGACTCTGCTGGGCGCAGACCCTGCGGTCAGCGTGTCCGAGACTTCCTCCCGTTGCTGCCACTTCTCAGAGCCACATCCTGGCGAGGGATGACTTCTTTGTAGTTTAAAGGAACAATTTCTCGTAACCGTAGGAGTCAAACGAGATTAAAATATTTTTTTTTCTCTTTTTCAGACTTTTCTGTGTACATTATACAAAGAGCCACACAACAAAACATTAGGCTTTTACTATAAACCCCGCATTAAATTATAAACGCTTTTCCAGTGATTGCACGCGCTTTGAAAACATTGTAATGATTACGTAAATTTCCATTAAGAGCTTGTGATTGTTTAAACTCCTTCAGCGTTTGCCGTTTCTCCGGTTTCACCGTTGTACTATGTGACTAACGTTTTTTCCCCGTAAAACTTTTCCAAATTTATGATTCATTTTTCAGAGTACATTCCTAAGAGTAGAGTTTCAGGTCAAAGGATAAGAGTATTTTTGAGTTTGGCCTTTTTGTGTTTGTAAATAAGCGAAATACCTAGAAGTGGGTGAATGTACTCTTTTCATTAGTATGTTATGTGATGTACGTCATTCGTTGAAACCAATAGCATCACTGAAAACCTTATTTTGTGTGTTTGTGTGCCTATTTTTCAAGTGAAATTGACATTTTTCAGATTGTCGTTTTTGTTTTTTTGTTTTTTATTTTTGAGGCAAGCCTTGGCTGTCCTGGAAGTTCCTCTGTAGACCAAATTCAGTGATCCGCCTGCCTCCACCTTAAGAGTGAGTTTACAAATTTAAGGAAATCTTACTTGCCTTTTTGTTAAATTGCCCCCTAGTAAGTTCTCCCTACGGGGATTTTATTTATATCCACGATTCCTTGGCATACCTGAAGTTAACCATTTCTTTGTCATATTTTATTACAAACGTTATTTTCTGTCACCCCCTCCGCCCCCCAACCTTGTAAAACAACAAATTTGTTGTCGTTAGGGTTGCTCCGTAGCCCTGGCTGTCCTGGAACTCTGTTGTAGGGGAGGGGAGGGGGACGCTTGAACTCAGAGATCCGCCTGCTTCTGCCTCCCAAGTGCTGAGATTAAATAAAGACGAGCACCACTTCCACTCAACTTTCTTTGAGACTTCTAACATAATGCTAAATCTAGTCTCCAGCCTTCAAAAGGTCATCAAATAGCTCAGGCTAATTTTTTTTTGCTTTCTTTCTAATGCCTTATTGCTGTCACTTGGAATTTTTTGTTTGTTTCTCAAATCCATCTGGAATTTTTTGGTCTTTGGTTCAGGGAGATGAGATGAAATTAATTTCTTCCTCTCCCTTCTCCTTCAGCTTGCCAACCAGGGCTGTTTCCTGGCTGAGAGAGAGGAGTGTGGGTAGGGCACACAGAGGCTCTGTCCTGAGTTACCAGATGCTGGGACTGGTGGGTGTGAGGAATGGGTGGGGCTGGGAATATTCTCATCAGTCTCCTGGGAGTCCAAAGAGCTCTAAACAGGTTATACAAAGACCTAGATCCAAGTCTCATCCCCTCCATGCTGGGTGTGGGACTCCTGGCAAATCAGTTTACAAGTGTTTTCACTTGTAAAATGGAAAAAAAATAACCCCCGCCCTGCCTCCTTTGGAGATTGTTTTCAGGATCAAATGAGATGATGGGAACAGGCTTTGTCAAGCATTACACAAATGTACTGTGGGATTAGGCCCCGAGGTTGGCAGACAGCCTCTGGGCTCTCTTCCAGCAGTTCCCTGGGGAAAACGCTAATATCTTAATAATAAAGGTTATTCCCTGTGCCCACTAAGTAAAGGAGACCCTGGAGGCAATCCTTCCTAGGACTGGGCTGGCCCTTAGAATTCTGCCTTCTGTGGACTTTGTCCTGGAATTGTTGGGGGCCTTCCAGAAAGCACTCAGGGCTCCGAAATGTTAAGGTGTGTCATAACTACAGCTAGTTTTGCAGGTTTGTGTGAGGGCACCTTTCTCAGCAGGCAGCTCCCTCCTCTGTCTCCAAGTCTTTTCACACACTTCACTGCTGAAGGCTGGAAGCCATTCTCCCTGGAGAGAAAGCCTCGCTTTCATTCTGATGGTACTTACTGGAGAATTTCAAGGAGAATGAAAATTAGGAGAGGGCTTATGGATTTCAGCAGAGTTAAAATGGCAATTTTCCCCCCTCCATTCCGTAAGATGATGCCTGCCTGTAAGTAGAGAAAAGCAGTTTTATGCTCCATTGACTTTAAACATTAATGGGTCTGGCAAAGCTATTGTTTCTAACCCAGCATCCCTGGAAGTTGTTTTGTCTTCCTGTCAGAGTAATTCCAATAGTGTTCTTACTACTGTAGGAAATGGAACTGTGAGATGGCTTTTTTTTTTTTTTTAAGAAAAAAAATGAAAGAAAAAAAAAACCCTTCCCTTTGTAACATTGCTTTTGTGTGCAGATTGCTATGTAAATATGCTGGGATGTGGACATTAGACTGTTCATTACAGAGATGAATGCCTTTCAGGAGCCCTGCTCCATTTTCTTGGGGCACTTCTCGGGAGAGCTCAGAGAGAAGTGCTGTGCTGGGCCAGTGGGAGGCGAAGAGGAATGCCCTGGATTAGGAAGCAAAATACAAGATGTGAGAGAGGCCCAGATGCAATTAAAAGTAATGAGAAGGTATCAAAAAAGGAAGCAATGAGAGCCGTGTGCCTGGCACACTGGCTGCCAGCCTGGAAAGAGACATTGCAAGCATTCAGGAACGCCCTGGGGAGAACACAGGAGTCAGGGGCTTCAGCATTCATTCAGACCACATGGAAGCCCTCCCCCAGGGAGTTTGCCTGCCTCAAGGACCTCATTTTAAAATACCTGCCTTCAGAGACAGCAGCTCCAGTAGCTAGGGTAATGGGGATTCCCACTGGGGGGGGGGGGGGGGGGGGGCGGGGAGGGTCACTTCATTTTTTGTGCCTCTGATTCCTAGTCTGTAAAATAGGGGATGCTATATTCTGAAAGGCTTATGGGTAGTTCTAGAGTAGAGTTATACCCTAAGGAGCAGAAATACTTTTCGGCATGTTGAAATGCCAAAAGGCAGTTCTGTGGTATGGCCCACTAGTAGATGAATGGATAAACTGTGATATACACTGGAACCCTATTCCATCATAGAAAAGGAATGAAGCACACACAGCTCCATTTGTGGTTACAGATACAATCCAGAGCCCATTCTTTTGGGGGGAGGGAAGAGCTTTTGATATTGAATAGGTTTTAAAGAATTAAAGGGGGCAGCCGGGCATGGTGGCACATGCCTATAACCCGAACACTCAGGGAGGCAGAGGCAGGCAGATCACTGTGAGTTCAAGGACAACCTGGTTTACAAAGTGAATCCAGGACAGCCAAGGTTACACAGAGAAATCCTGTCTCAAAATAATAATAATAATAATAAATAATAAGTAAAGAATTAAAGGGGCTGGGAGATGGCTCAGTGGGTAAAATGCCTGCCTGAGCACAAATTAAGGACCTGAGATCCCCTCCAGCCACTGCAAAAGTTAAGCAAAGTCGTGTATACCCTATGTGGGAAGGCCAATATAAGTGGATCCCAAGAGTTCTCTGGCCAACTAATCTAACCAACCAATCAGTGAGTTCTAGGTTCATTGAGAGATCCTTTCTTAAAAAATAAGGTGAAAATGATTGAGGAAGATACCCAATGTCCTCTGGCTTCCACGCATGCATTCATGCATGGGTACATACCTGTACATACATTTGCATGTATACATAAAAGACACAGAAACAGATTGTAAAGAATGATGTACTGATACATGCTATAACATGAGCTTTAGGGAAAGAAGCCCAACAAAAAGTCACATTGCATGGCTCAAGTGCCCTACCACAGAGAAACCCTGTCTCGAAAAACCAAAATAATAATAATAATTACATGCTGTATCTGGCATTTGTTTCCCTTCTTTATTCATAATTAGAGCCACAGTCTATTTGCTGACATGAAATAATCTCATCACCATTTCCCAACACAAGGCTGCTCTTCTTCAGTCCTGAGGGCACACTGAAAGTGGTACACTTAAAATGCCATATAAAGGCTAGCATAACGGCTCGGTGAGTAAGAAAGCTTGCAGCGAAGCCTGACAACCTGAGTTTAATCCCCAGGGCCCACATGATGGAAGGAGAGAAAAGACATCAACATCCACCCATGTGCTACGGTATGCTCACATACAAATAAATGGGGCTGGAGAGATGGTTCAGCATACGACCACTGGCTGCTCTTCCAGAGGACCCTGGTTCAATCCCCAGCATCCACAAGGCAGCTCACTCACAACTGTATGTGACTACAGTGCCAGGGAGTCTTATGCCTTTTTCTGGTCTTCAAGGGCATCAGGCACACATGTGGTGTACATACATCCATGTAAGCAAAACATTCATCCCTATAAGGTGAAATATATAAGACAGAAAATAACAAATGTTCGTAAGAAGATGGTAGAGAACCAGAACCCTCGCCTATCCTCAAAAGACAGGTGAAATGATGCCTCTGCTTTTGGAAACAGTTTGGAAGTATCAGTCTCTCTACTGTTCCAT